TTATATTGGTTATAGCTTGCTGTTTCAAGCCTTTTATTAATATGTAATTCCTTCTTTGTCTCTTGAAACTATTTTTGATTTAAAGTCTTTTGTCTGATAGGAGTACAGCCATCCCAGCTCTCTTTCAGTTACTATTTGCATGGAATATCCTTTTTCATCCATTCACTTTCAACCTATTTGTGTCTTTGAATCTAATGTGAATCTCTTGTAGACAGCATATAGTTGGATTATGTTTTTTTAATCCATCTGCCAGTCTCTGTCTTTTACTTTAAATAAATTACTGATAAGGGGGGACTTACTTCTGCCATTTTGCTGTTTCTTTTCTATATGCCTTATAGTTTTTTTGCCCCTCCTTTACTCCATTACTGCCTTCTTTTGTATTTAGTTAATGTTTTTGTAGGGACGTGTTTTGATTCTCTACTCATTTCTTATTGTGTATCTTTCTTATTGTGTATATTGTGTATATTTTCTTTGCGGTTACCATGGGGATTACTTCACATCTAACTCCCTAGAGTCGTAATACTTCAATTTGCATTTATACCAGCCTGACTTCAATAGCATATAAAAACTCTGCTCCTACACATCTCCATCACCTCCTTTCTGCTACTGATGTCACAAATATATTTCTTTATACATTGTTTGCAATAACAATGTATATGATAACAAAGATTAGTAATTACTTTTATGCATTTTCTAAGTCATGTAGACAATTAAAAGTGGATTTTAGTACAGTAATACTAGTTTTTATAATTGTCCACATATTTGCCTTTTCTAGAAATCTTTATTTCTTCATATGGTTTTGAGTTAGTATCTAGCATCCTTTCATTTCAACCTGAAGGACTCCCTGTAGCATTTCTTGCAGGGCAGGTCTAGTTGTAACAAACTCTCTCAGCTTTTGCTTACTTGGGTATGTTTTAATTTCTCTCTCGTTGTTGAAGAACAGTTTTACTAGTTATAGAATTCTTGGCTGAAAGTTTTTTTCTTTTGGCACTTTGAATATTTCAACCCATTGCCTTCTGGCCTCCAACATTTCTGATGAGAAATCAGCTGATACTCTCATTGAGGATCTTTTTGTGTGACAAGTTGCTTCTCTATGGCTGCTTGCAAGATTGTATCTTTGTCTTTTGACAGTTTGATTATAATGCGTCTTGGTGTGCGTCTTTTTGGGTTTATCCTATTAGAGTTTGGTGAGCTTCTTGGGTTTATAGATTCATGTCTTTCATCAAATTTGGGGAGTTTGGGGCCATTATTTCTTCAAATGTAGTTCTTTCTGCAGTTTCTCTCTCTCTTCTCCTTCTCCATGGCTCTCCACAAATGCCTGGGACTCCCATAATATGTATGTTGGTCCATTTGATGGTGTTCCACAGGTCCCTTAGGCTCTGTTCACTTTTCTTCAATGTTTTTTCCTTCTGTTCCTCAGACTCAATAATTTCAATTTTCCTATCTTCAAGTTTGCTGATTGTATCTTCTGCTTGCTCACATCTGTTTTTGAACTCCTCTAGTGATTTTTTTCTTTTTTGTAATTGTATTTTCAGCTCCAGAATTTCTCTTTGGTTCCTTTTGATATTTTCTACCTCTTTATTGATATTCTCATTTTGTTCATATACCATTTTCCTGTCTTTCTCCAGGTCTTCATTAGCTCCTTGAGCATTTTAAGGCAATTGTTTAAATCTTTGTTTAGTATGTCTGCCAACTGGGCTTCCTCAGGGATGGTTTATTATTTTTTTCCCTGTGAATGGGCCATACTTTCCTGTTTCTTTATGCCTTATGATTTTGTTGTTGTTTTTGAAAATGGGCATTTGAATCTTGTAATGTGGTAACTATGGAAATCACATTTTCCCCCTTCCCCAGGGTTTGCTGGGGGTTTTGTTGTTGTTGTTGTTGTTATTCTTGTAGGGTGTCTCTGTGCTGGGGATCAGCCTGAAGTGAAAGCTTAAAGTCATCTCAGATCTTTTCTGAGCTTACATCTTCCCCTGGGCTTGTGAATGACTTTCTAAATTCCCCTGTCTTGTGTATGTATCAGATGCTTTTGAATGTCCTAATCCCTAAATGTCTGGCTCCCAAAAGGGGAAAAAGGAGAGAAAACCCAGAGGCTGTCCCTTTAAATCTCTTGGAAGCCTCTTCAGCCAGTGGGGGTTGAAATAACTGTGGCTGCCTATGTGTCTGCACCTCTGTGATCAGAAGCAGTCTAACTGCTTCATTCTAACTGAATTACCTCGTTAAAGGCCCATCTCCAAGCAAATCACATTCTGAGGTCCTGGGGTTAGGACTTCAACATATGAATTTGGGGGGACACGATTCAGCCCATAAATGTCTTTATTCCCAGTTCTCTTTCCCCAGGTTTTTTTTTTTTCTTCAAAGCACTTACCACGACCTGATGTTTTATCAGTCATTTATTTGTTTACCATCTGTCTTCCCCCAAGGCAAAGACAATATTGCTTAGCAAATATTCCATGTGCTCACCTACATTTCCCAGACCCTCTGAAGTAAAGTGGGGCTATGTGATTAGTTCTAGTTAATGGCCTGAAAGCAAAAGTAATGTAGATCCCGCCCAGGCCAGAGCATTTAATTGCCAGTGCATGACTCACTATCCTCCCTTCTCTTGCCATAGCAGCTAAAGATGTTCAGATGGTCCAGCCTCCATCAGCCATGGTGTCTGAAGGGACTGGGTGGAGTAGAGCTCTCCACCAACCCACATGGACATGTAGCATGAACAAAAAGAAAATTTTGTTAAGCCACTGAGATTCCAGAATTCTCTTGTTATATAGCATAACCTAACTTATCCCAATTAATACATCCCACTAGAATGTAAGCTCCAGTAGGGCAGGGACTTAGCCTGGATCCTTAGTTCCTGGTGCAAGGTGAGTAAGCAATTCTTAGTTATGGAGTAAATGACGGTGCCGGGCACAAGAAAGTGAAGTTTCTGGGCCAAAATTACTCTAATAAAAGGTGGATCAAGAGATGAAACTGATCCCAGAGCTTGGGACTGAAGCTACTTGGCCACATGCCTACTATCTTAACCACTGTCTTATCCTAAACCCAGACTGTGCCAGGAATTTGACATGAATAACCTCTTGAAAGCTTTATAACAACTGTACCTTATGATGGAGAGTTCTAAGGTCCCTGTCTTACAGATGGGAGAACTGAAGCTTAGCAAGTCTCAGCAACTTGCCTGAGGTCCTTTGGCTCACACAGTGCCTGCCACAGTCCTGGTGCAACTGATCTTTCTCATCAGTGGATGCTGGGACAGACATGGTTGGTTATACCAAATAAGTGTTCTCTTCTACATCTCTTCTGCATACAAAGCCCTTATTTCATTTGGGTCTTTATTTACTTCTATGGTCAAAGAAGGTTGCACTTCCCCAGTCCTGGAGAACAAATTCTGATTGGTTTAAACCAATTATGGAAATATCCTTTCCTTTCAGGAATTGGTTTGGATCTGCACATGGGACCTAATACTGGCCAATGAAACTTTAGGAGAGATCTAAATGATGGGAGGATTTTGAAATGGTTTTAACTTTTTGATATAAAAGAACACTCCTTGTAGTAGACATTAGCTGTGGCAATCATTACTGACTGCCGTTTGCCAAATGTTCCCTGAACATGGCAGAATTCCAGTTCCTTTGATGGGTTGGTGGGTTGGTGGTGCCACGTAACCATTTCTGCCAGTGGTTTGTGAGCAAGTGACATGTGTCATTTAAGTTGAGAGCATCTAATTGTAGGCATGAGCTCCTACAGAGCTCTCTTTCTTTGTCCTCTGGCATGAAACTGAAAATGTTCAAGATGGCAGCAGCTCCATCATCCTGGGTTCCTGAGTGACTATAATGTCAGTCCACAATAGACGTGGAGCATGAGTGGGAAGGAAACCTTTGTTGTTGTAAATCATTGAGATTTAGGGGAAGTTTTATTTGGTAGCAAATAGCCTATCTTGAGTGATACAGAAATCGGATCAGGAATGGGGTGATGCTGTAATCCGAAACAAATCACATGGCACTGGCTTAGACACAGAGCAAAGGGAATGAGAAAACTTACTTGAAACCAGGAGAATGGAGACTCTAGCCTGAGATATTTTGGAAGGCAGATAATGTACTTAATGAACTTGCAGCTTAAGGGGAAGCAGTTGGAATACAGAACATTAGGAGTGACTGGTGGCCAAAGTTGGCTGAAAATTGGGAAGACCTTGAGAGACAAAGCCCAATTAGAACTCAGTTTTTATGAAGGATAACAATCAAGGGTATAGCACTAATTAAATCATTATTAACAATTGTTAAAATCCCCGAATGAATTATTATGCTCCTAGAAAATCCTTAAGATACTCTCAGGTAGAGAAAATGGCTCGGAGAAAGAGCAGTCAAGAATATGGCTCTCCACGAATGCTTGGTAGACTAAGGTGGCTGCAAACACTGCCTCCCTCCCCCCAGAGAGATAGAGCGGAACATCTTGAACAGAACAGTGGATGTGGGTTTTTGCACATGGAATTGACTGGAGGTGTATAAGAATCCTTAGGTCCGATCTTTGGGAGACAGAAAGCCGGCTGAGAAAACTGCTCATGTGGCGAGGAGGGCACATCTTCCAATGCCACTTCAGATGTAGCCAAGGAGGATAGTGGAAAAGAAGCTATCTCCCTGGAGAGTGGAGACGTGAGTCCCAGAGAACAAGGGTTTGGGAAGCTCCCCTACCCTCCAAAGGAGCTGATTTGATGCTAATTCAGGAATCCTCCGCAGCTACAAGATAACAGGCCCTTGCAGTAGCTTCTCACTGGATTTTAGAAATGGTACAGAGCAGTGATTTCTATATGTCTCCCCTTCTTCCCCTTTCTGATGGTCATGAAGCCATTTTTTTGGTTCCATCATTGTATATTAGGTGTGTGGAGGACAAATCGTTTGGCTTTTTAGTTCACTTGTTCTGACTTAGGTTCACTCATTTCCTGCCTAGTTCTTATGGACATCTGAGTTCTCAACCCTGCCGCCTACACCAAGCTATTTGATGACATGAACTGAATGGTACTCCTGAAGTGCGTTGGACCGAGTTTCATTCCATGGCCCAGAGCTGATGCCTGAGTTCTGTGGGTGAGTTCACAATGCCCAGGGTGGTTCCTAGCCTCCTTCCGTAGTCTCTGGCTACCATTGCTGGCCACCCTGTGGCTGCTTAGCCTTTCTCTCCCCACTCTGTGGGGCCAGGTATTAATCAGCTGTGCCTACAAGAGTCTCTGCCAGCGGGCCCGACTCTTGGGCAACGATGTTGTCCTTCACTGTGACCGTCCCAAGGCACTCTGGTACTTCTCTTCCATTCTGGGGGAGGATCCCTTGCTGCTGTCCTCAATGCCTAACGTAAAGAAACTGCCTCAGGGCAGCATCCAATTGACCAACCCTCAGCCCTCCCAGACAGGCCTCTATCACTGCCAGGACAATGACAGTGCTCTCGTGGTGGAGTATGAGATTGACTTCCAAGATGTCAGCACACTGCATATTACGCACAAAGGCCTCCGCCAAAAGCCCCTGAAGAATGAGACCTGGAGGCTGGGTGGCAATGTACTCATCTTCACCCGCTGGGAGCCCTGGCAGGACTGTAACCACTGTGGGGAGCCAGGTGAGCGCAAACGCCTGGGGTACTGCTGCATCCAGGAGCCCCTGGAAAAACCCATGCCCTGCTGGCTCTGTCTGAGAGAGGAGAAGGTGCCATACAGCCGCGTGCGGCCTGAGCTGCAGGTGGAAGCCTGTCTTGTACCCTGCGACTACGTCAAGGAAATCACCTAGCCATACTTCACCTTTGACATTTACCAGTTGGGCAAGCTGACCAACAACATGTGGCTCACCTGCCCCTTGGCCTCCATCTACAGGTAACTGGACCAGGGCATCAGCCCTGCCTTTAACCCTCCCCCAGGCCTTGCTTCCTGTGCCTACCTGGGCCAGGGATTTATCTTCCAATGGAAAAGCGGGCTCTGCCTCCTGGCCCATAAGCCTTCATGGTCAGTCTGTGCAGGTAGGGGTCGCTTCCCTGGCTTGTTCAGATATTCATTCAGCAAGAGTTCCCTGGTGCTCATTGTGAGCCAGGCCCCAGGCAGGCGATGTTGGGGACACACTGTGACCCAGAGAGACCCAGTCCCTGCCCTCAGAGGCTCCTGATTTTCGGGGGGAGACCAAATGCAAAACCTAGAGGCCAAAGCGCTTCAGCCTGTGCTCATGCCAACACAGACACTAGTGCGGCTTCTGTGTCCTCACTGGGCTCTGATTGATACAATTTCTCCAACCATCCTTGCGCCAACGCACAGTATCTTTATTATTATACCTTTATAGTAAGTTATCATTCCCCGTAACATAGATTTTCCAACTTTGTTTTTTAAGATTGTCTTGGTTGTCCTTGGCCCTTTTGTATAAAAATTTTGGAATCAGCTTCTAGTTTCCATCCAAAAAAATCCTATTTTTTTAAAAAGAAACAGGGACTTCATTAAATCTAAAGATAAATCTGAGTAGAATCAATGTGTTAGAATATTTAATTGTCTTCCAATCCATGAATGTCATAAACACTTCCATTATGTAGGCTTTCTTTCATTTCTCCCTGTAATGTGGAGTTATTAATGTAGAGGTTTTATGTATATTTTATTCCTAGGTATTTGATTTTTTTCATGCTATCACAAATTGTGTCTTTCAGATTTCCTCTTCTAATTGTTAGTGGTATATAAAAATATATTTAGTATTTGTATATAACCTTGAATCTAATTATTTTGTTAGATTCGCTAGCCCCCAGTAAAATGCTGAATGGAGAAGTCAATGGCAGACATGATTATGTTATTCTTAATAGTTCACTATTCAGTATAATTCTGCTCTAGGTTTTTCTTTTCTTTTTTGTTTTTTGGTTTTTTTTTTTTTTTGAGGAAGATTAACTCTGAGCTAATATCTGCTGCCAATCCTCCTTTTTTTTTTTTTTTTTTTTTTTTTTTGCTGAGGAAGATTGGCCCCGAGCTAACATCTGTGCCCATCTTCCTCTCTTTTGTATGTGGGACACCTGCCTCAGCATGGCTTGATAAGGGGTTCATAGATCCGCACCCAGGATCCCAACTGGTGAACCCCGGGCCACCAAAGCAGAGCGCACAAACTTAACCACTGTGCCACTAGGCCAGCCCCTTTAGATTTTTAATAGAAAAACTTATTAGATTAAGAAGATTCTGAGCCAGCCCTCATGGCCTAGTGGTTAAAGTTCAGTGCTCGCCACTTTGGTGGCCCGGGTTCACTTCCCACTCATGGAACCACACCACCCATCTGTCAATAGCCATGCTGTGGCAGCGGCTCACGTAGAAGAACTAGAAGGACTTACAACTAGGATGTACAACCATGCACTGGGGCTTTGGGGAGAAAAACAAAAGATGAAGATTGGCCACAGATGTTAGCTCAGGCTGAATCCTTCCCTACCAAAAAACAAATAACCCCAAAAGATTCCCTTTTGTTTCTAGTCATTGAACTCTTTATTTCAAGAGTTTTGAACCATGAATGAGTATTGAATTTTATCAAATGCTTTTTCTGCATCTACTGAGATAATAATATGGTTTTTATCTTTTATTCTGTTAATGTGGTGAATTACACTGATCGATGTTCATGTAGAAACCTAACCTTCCCTTCCTGGGAGAAATCTAATTGGTTGTGATGTTTATCCTTTTTATTCGTCTTTGAAGGCAATTTGCTAATATTTTGCTTAGGGTATTGTGTCCGTCTTCATGGAAGAGATGGGCCTGGTGTTTTCCTTTGTTGTAACTTTCTTCTAAGGTTTTGGTATCAAGGTGATGCAGGCCTCATAGAAGCTTGGAAGTGTTCCTTCTTTTTCTCTCTCTGGAAAGATTTTGAAATGCCATTTCTTAATGATTGAGAAATGTTTGGAAGAACTCACTGGTAAAGCTTTCTGGGCTTAGAGAGTTTTTTGTGCCTAGGTTTTAATTACAGATTTAATTTCTTTAATAGTAAATATAGAACAGTTTAGATTTTTTTCTTGTGCCAGTGTTGTTACACTTTTCAATGAATGTATCCATTTATCTAAATTTTCAGAAGTTTTGGCTAAAAGTTGTTTATGATATCTTCTTATTACCTTTTTATGCCTGTGAGATCTGTAGTAATGTCTCTTTTTTCGTTACTGGGGTTAGTTACTTAGGCCTTCTCCCTGTTTTCCCCTTGACCAGTCTTGCTAGGGCTTTATCAATCTCATTCATCTTTTTAAAGAACTTCTTGGTTTTGGTTTTGCTTTGTTGATTTCCTTTATTGTATTTTTGTTTTCTGTCTAATTGATTTCTCGTATTTGAGATGCTTGCTTAGATCTCTAGTTTTTATCGTTTTTTCCCCCCAAAGTATGTATTTAGACTGTAAATTTCCCCCTAAGCACAACTTACCTCCCTCCCACACCTACATCTTTAGTAGTTAAAAATACTATCTAGTTGCAGTTGTGATTTCTCTTTTGATCCGTTCATTATTTAGATATTTCCTTGTATAATTTTCAAATATCTGAGATGTTCTTGTTATCTTTTTGTCATTCGTGTCTAGCTTGATTCCACTGACCAAAAAGTGTGATTCCATTCCTTTAACATTTATGGAGACTTGCTTTATGGCCTAGAATATGACCAATTTTGGCAAATATTTCATGTGAATGTGAAAAGAATGTATGTTCTGGAGTTGAGTGCAGTGTTCCATATATATGAATTAGGTCAAGTTTATATCATATGGTTCAAATCTTCTGTATCTCTACTAAATTTTTTTCTGCATGTTCCATTGTCGACTTGTCTATTTCAACATTTAGTACTATCTGGTTTTGCTTTACATATTTTTAGGTTCATACAAACTTGGGATCATCATGTCTTCCTGTTGGATGAACCATTTTATAAAATGTCTCTTGTAATTTCTGTTATTAATTTTGGCCCTTATTCCTACTTTATGTTATTAGTATAGCTACTTTACCAGTTTTCTTTTGGTTAGTGTTTGCATGATATTTTCCATGGTTTTACTTTTGACTTTCCTGTATTCTTTTATTTAAGGTAAATCTTTTTTAAGCAGTATATATTTAGATTTTTTATTTTATTGAATTCATAATAATTTATAACATCGTGAAATTTCAGATGTACATTATTATTTGTCAGTCACCATATATATGTGCCTCTTTACCCCTTATGCCCATCCCCCACCCCCCTTCCTCTCTGGCAACCACTAATCTGTTCTCTTTGTCCATGTGTTTGTTTATCTTCCATATATGAGTGAAATCATGCAGTATTTGTCCTTCTCTGTCTGGACTTTCAATTCTGTTCCATTGATCTGTGTGTCTGTTTTTGTATAAGTACCATGCTGTTTTGGTTACTATAGCTTTGTAGTATATTTTGAAGTCAGAGATTGTGATACCTCCCACTTTGTTCTTTTTTTCTCAGGATTGCTTTAGTTATTCAAGGTCTTTTGTTGCTGCATGAATTTTAGGATTCTTTGTTGCATTTCTGTGAAGAATATCATTGGTATTCTGACTGGGATTGCATTAAATCTGTAGATTGATTTAGGTAATATGGACATTTTAACTATGTTTTTCATCCAATCCATGGACATGGAATATCATTCCATTTCTGTATGTCATCATCAATTTCTTTCAATAATGTCTTTGGTTTTTGTTGTATAGGTCCTTCACAAATAGTTAAATTTGCTCCTAGATATTTTATTCTTTTTGTTGCAGATGTAAATGGAATTGTGTTCTTGAGTTCCCTTTCTGTTAGTTCGTTATTAGAGTATAGAAATGCAACTGATTTTTGTAAGTTGATTTTGTACCCTGCAACTTTGCTGTAGTTGCTGACTATTTGTAATAGTTTTCTGATGGATTCTTCAGGGTTTTCTGTATATAGAATCATGCCATTTGGAAACAGTGAGGGTTTCACTTCTTCATTGCTTATTAGGATTCCTTTTATTTCTTTTGCCTAATTGCTCTGGCCAAAACCTCCAGTACTATGTTGAATAAGAGTGGTTTGAGTGGGCACACTTGTCTTGTTCCTGTTCTCAGAGGGATGGCTTTCAGTTTTTCACTGTTGAGTATGATGTTGGCTGTGGGTGTATCATATATGGCCTTTACTATGTTGAGGTACTTTCCTTCTATACCTGTTTTATTGAGAGCTTTTATCATAAATGATGTTGGATCTTGTCAAATGCTTTCACTGCATCTATTGAGATGATCATGTGATTTTCATTCCTCATTTTGTTATTGTGGTGTATCACACTGATTGATTTGCAGATGTTGAACCATCCCTGTGTCCCTGGTATAAATCCCACTTGATTATAGTATATGATCCTCTTAATGTATTTCTGTATTTGGTTTGCCAATATTTTGTTGAGGATTTTTGCATCTACGTTCATCAGCAATATTGGCCTGTAATTTTCCTTCTTTGTGTTGTCTTCGTCTGGCTTTAGAATCAGGGTGATGTTGGCCTCATAGAATGTTGGGAAATGTTCCATCTTCTTCAATTTCTTGGAATCATTTGAGATGGATAGGTATTAAATCTTCTTATTCTTTTTTCTTTAAAGGTGGACTTTTGTTTTTGGTGAGGAAGATTGGCCCTGAGCTAACATGTGTTGCCAGTCTTCCTCTTTTTGTTCCTCCCCAAAGCTCCAGTACTTAGTTGTATATCCTACTTGTAGGTCATTCTAGTTCTTCTATGTGGGATGCTGCCACAGCATGGCCTGATGAGTGGTGTGTAGATCCACACCCAGGATCCTAACCAGCGAACACCAGGCCGCCAAAGCAGAGCATGTGAACTTCACCACTCAACCACAGGGCTGGCCCCTAAATCTTCTTTGAATGTTTGGTAGAATTCTCCAGAAAAACCATCTTGCCCTGGACTTTTACTTTTTGGGAGGTTTTAATTACCATTTCAATCTCTTTACTTGCGACTACTCTACTCAGAATCTATTTCTTCTTGATTCAGTTTTGGGGGGATGTATGAATCTAAGAATTTATCCATTTCTTCCAAATTGTCAAATTTGTTGGCATATAATTTTGCATAGTATTTGCTTATAATCCTTTGTATTTCTGTAGTATCTGTTGTAATTTCTCCTCTTTCATTTCTAATTTTATTTATTTGAGGCTTCTCTCTTGTTCTTAGTAAGTCTAAGACTTTGTCAATTTTGTTTATCTTCTCAAAGAACCAGCTCTTCGTTTCATTGATCCTTTCTACTTTTTTGTGTATGTTTCAATTTCATTTATTTCTGCTCTAATTTTTATTATTTCCCTCCTTCTGCTGACTTTGAGCTTTGTTTGTTCTTCTTTTTCTAGTTCTGGTACCTGTAGTTTAAGATAACTTATTTGAGATTTTTCTTGTTTGTTAAGGTGGGCCTGTATTGCTACGAATTTTCCTCTTAAGACCACTTTTGCTGCATCCCATGTGAGTTGTTATGGTATATTTTCATTTTCATTTGTCTCCAGATATTTTTTGATTTCTCCTTTAATTTCTTCATTGATCCGTTGTTTGTTCAGTAGCATGTTGTTTAGTCTCCACATATTTGTTACTTTCCCAGGTTTTTTCTTGTAGTTGATTTCTAGTGTCATAGCATTATGGTCAGAAAAAATGCTTGATATGATTTCAGTCTTCTTAAATTTATTGAGGTTTGCTTTGTTTCCCAAAATATGGTTTATCTTTGAGAATGTTCCATGTGCACTTGAGAAGAATGTGTGTTCTTGTTTTTGGATGGAGTGTTCTATGTAAGTCTACTAAGTCCATCTGGTCTAGTTTTTTGTTTAATTCTTTTTTCTTTTTGACTTTCTCTCTGGGTGATCTGTCTATTGATGTAACTGGGGTGTTGAGGTCCCCTATTATTATTGTGTTGGTGTTAATTTCTCCTTTT